ATCATTACATTTAATTGATAAAATGATTAAATTGGAATTTTATAAATAATTGTTCAAAAATGGTTCTACACGAAATAAATGTTACGTAACATTGATGCCATGAAAATTAAAAATGTTATTAAATTTCATTATCCTAAGTAATAAGGGAAAACAGGAAAAAAGTTGTTTTACCATTCCCGCCGAAATCAAGCCGGTCTTCAATGCGTAATGCGTTCAATCACCGAACGATCGGTAGAGTCGATGTTAATTATTATCATTCGAATCACACGCAGAATATTTTGAGAACGTATCGAAAGCCAGTTAAGTTGAAATTCGCTCGCGTTTACGTCTTCGACGAGGCTTGTCACGAGGATCACGCGCCGATCTCTCTGTTCCGAACAGGTCCTGCTGGACGGCGTAGAAGTGTCGAAGCTGAACGTTCAATGGCTACGCTCGCACATAGGTGTGGTCGGCCAGGAGCCAGTGCTCTTTGACACAACGATACGGGAGAATATCCGGTACGGAAATGACAGCATTACCGAGGAGGAGATGATCAAAGCCGCGAAGGAAGCGAACGCTCACGACTTCATCAGTAAACTGCCCGAGGTGAGTAGCTTCTCGAACCTGTCCATCGCGAGCCAGATTTCAGGTTTCCTTTTCGTTCTCGTTTCGCTTTCCGATTGATCCACCAGAGTCACACTTTTCACCAGCTTTCTCGTCTCTATCCTCCCCCGAACCTCTAGGCGTATGTGCGAAAGATCTCCTCCTCGCTCTAGAGCTTCCCGTCCCGACGGATCCCTAGAATCCCTCGCACAAAGGCCCCTCTAATTAAAATTGTATCCCGAGGTAGACCGTGAACTCGCTTGGAATTTTAATATCCCCTTTGCGCGTGCTCTCGTTCGTCCGGATCTATCTCGTTGATCGCCGGACTGGCGACGATCCCGATGGAAACGAGCGACCTTCGAGTGGTGGGAAATGATAATTTTTTTTTTTTTTTTTTTTTTTTGGGTAATTAACTACTAGACTAAGTGGTCGAAACCATTTTACGTGTGTTTTGAAAGATTTAAATAATTTTTTTTTTGCGAAATATATATAAATTTGAATCTTGTATGCTCTCCCGTTGTGTTATAAAGTTTCTCTATTTTTTTTTTTTTTTTTTTTTGTTTCTGAATTCAGTGACTCCGATGGAAATTTTATGCTCTCGTCGGTAGTTTTATTGTTAAAAATTCACACACTCGCAGTACGTTGTTTTCAAAACGTGAAAATCCCTTGCAACGGCGTTCGATCTGAATAAAAGAGCACGTTCTGGTCCTCCCTAGTTTCGAATTGGAATTTGAAATTTTCTAAACTCTTTGGATCGAATGTTAACGAATATAAATCTAACGCGATCTGACAAGCCTAACTAGGAAGATCGAAAAGACAATTATTATTGATAATTATCATGATTTAATAAGCAAAATCCCTAGTAACATTATATCCAACATAATTCTCATAACACTATATCTCTCTTATATATCCCACAATGAACTTCCCCGTTCAAGCTATTTGAAATTTTCACTATAACACGAAGGATTTGAATCGTGTATTTACATGTTGATAACATCGTATAACCGCGTTTATCCTATCGTGAGCCGTGTACGATCATTAAAATGTTTGATTCACAATCGGCAAAGAACTGTGCCACAAAAGTTGCGAACACATTCTGCGACAATTGTTTTCAATAAATTGCATTTAGTTATGTTTACGACGTTTCAACAAAGTTCATCGAGGTATGCGCTTTGTGATTGTAAGCAAATTATTATTCCATATTATTTATTATGATTTAATATTATTTCAACGATCGCAGGAGCAAACGTTCAACCATGCGTTTGGTAAAATAATTAAATTTATTGCTTCGTTCAGTAAAATTGCATTTCATTTACGGTTTCTGTTCACTATTATCGAATATCGTACGAAAATCGCGCTTCAGGTGCAAAACTATTAATCGAAAGCAACCAAAAAATCAACCGGACGCGGAACTAAGGAATAAATTTCGTAACATTTACCCACGATCGAGTGAAATCTGACAAATTACAATCACGCGAGTGACATTTGTTATCGGCGGTGGTGGTCGTTGTGCTTGGCTATCACGTGTAATACCAGGTTGACCGTGAGTAATTCAGGTGGTAATTCGCGACGCGTTAACAATAGTCTCAGGTGTGGGCGACGAGCCACGCGAAACACGCGTGCAAACAGACGATAAAACACCGGTTAAACCGGTGCACGGGCAAATAACAGTATCCCAGATTACGGCCGTGTCAACGATTAGGCGTTTATTACCGAATTATCGGTAGGTGAGTCCGATGCTCGCGATGGTTTCATCCGCGTGTAGCCGTTTCCTCCGCGTGCGTTGTTTCTCGCGATGCGTTTAGGACCGCGTAACGATCCGCGGAAACAAGCGAGCCAGACATTTTCCCAGTTTATGGAGGAGCCCCGCGCAGTTTATTTTACGGATCGATGCGCCAAGCGATCGCGCACGTAAAATTTTATCCGGCAGAAGTGGCCATCGTTTGGCACACGCACACGTTGTCCAGTTATGTAAATGGAACGTTTCGTTGCCACATCGGATACGTATTCTGCATTGATATTGTTTTTTCTTTCTTTTTTTTTTTGATATTGTAATTATTTATGTATTTACGAGAATTATATAAATTGGCTCGTGAAAGTATTCGATTTGTTACAGAAAGTTTTTGAAT